AAAAAAAAAAAAAAAAAAAATACGATCGCTATACGAGACAATGAAATAAATTAGTCGTAATATGGTATATTTATAACGAAATAAATTATCATTCAGGTAATTGAAAATTAAAAAAGAAATAGCAAAATTAATAAGTTTTTATCGAAAATTAATTAGAGATAAAGTATGACATGTGCTAAATTATCATCCGACGGAATTATTGGGTGGAGTGGTTGGCAGTTTATAAATTTTTTTATTATTCTTGTTGTGATTGGTTATCTCGCATGTGCTGCCTATAAAAAGCTCAAGGATTCGGGTGCACCTCTGATTCCGGATTTGTTGTAAAAGCAAGAATCATGTGAATCACTCTGTCAACGAAGTCCTCGTATCTATTCTACACGGTATTTTATATATCACTCTGTTAAAATAAATTTTAGTAAGACTCATTGTATTTATACAATGAGAAATATTTCCTCTCTTCTAGATTCTCTAAATCTAATAACGATACTTTTCCTAAATCTTTGTTTACTAAGTCATTTATTTATATGTATACGGTTTTTTTTATAATGATAATGATAACGACATGTTCGTAATGGTTAGCGCAGCATTAGCTTTCACGTATACAGATAATTTTGACGTGAAATCTGTGTTTCGACAGTAACACGAACCATGTATCGTAAAACGATATAGGGCGTATATTCTTTTCTATCAATTATCAAAATCATTACACAAAGTATATATATATATATAATGACATAAGTATATATTATCGATCAGAAAAATATGTTGCAAACAAAACAGTTTGTTACATAAATCAATACTCAATAACTTCAAATTCGAAGTTTAAACAATAAGAAGCAAAGTTCGTACTTTTATAAAAGCTGAATGCTTTATGGACAAGAAATTTTACGTTTTCCAATTCATTAGATAAAAAGAAGCACGTGAAATACGTCCCTAGCTAGCTTTAATTGGATTTCTAAAGTATGCGTAGGGTTGGACGAAATTCTGTTCAGCGCAACGTGCCACGTACGATGTATGTATACGTGATTTCAACGGAGTTAGTCGATACGTAGTATGGAGTTCACAAATAGCCTCTCGGCTACTCCCAGCTTACAGTGGGCGATTGAGACGAACGATTATATTCGAAGTACGCCTAAAGAAACGGATGTGCGCGTAGTGTTGTGCTCCTCTCTCTCTGTGCATTTTCGATTGTCCTTGTGCTTAGTCTCCGAGATTCGTTCTTGTCCATCTGAACACATGAAATTTGGAGGTTAGGTCGTTAGCGACGGGAAGGTGTTGTTTGTCGGCCGTAGAAGAGGAGGGAACCGGCGTACCTTCACGTCGTTCTAACGGAATAATCCCCTGTATCGGATTAGTCAAAGAGGATGACGAGTTTACCTGCCACAGGCGTGACATGAGAGATCGCGAATCAGAATGAATTCGAACAATTACGATGAGCAGACAGACACAGGTTACGATCGTGATAATCGAATAACTCCCGGGGAAGGGCCGTCTCCTGGGCCTGGAGCCGGCCTCGAATATGATTTGTGGGAAGGCCAGTTTCAATTTGTTGGACAACCGTCTTCTCGCGGTAGTCGACTACCCCGTCGTCGTGGTCCTCGACTTACCGAGCAAGTAAGATAGTAACACCGGATATATCGTTCTCTGCATACGATTTATTCTTGAGAAATGTAAACGTACGACAAAAACAAATAAAATGATAGATATTTTTAGTTGCAATTATGTACATTAGCGATAATTCAGTAGCCGCGTAGTGAGTATTGTTAGTAATAATTTTTTTATTATATATATATATATATCGATTAGACATGATACACTGACTTATTTGATAACAGAGGAATAGATAACCGGATACATCAGAATTATGATCTCGACTTTTCCATTCCGAGTTTTTCCATTTGAATAAGCTAACAGATACGTGAACATCGGAATAATCGCTCTTTTGTAGTTGCGTTTAAAAAGTGGAAATATATATATTTAAAAAATGGAAAATATATATATATA